CCTGTAAGGCCTTCGTTCATCTTCAGAACACAAATTAAGATATTTGTGATGAACTCCGAGAGCTCTCTGACCCTCCCATAGACACCAATGTAATTAACATGATCAAGGTCAAGAAATGTAGCAAAGAGATCGTTAAAATAAACCATGTGACATCAGGGGTTCAACTGTAATTTTACGAAGATATGAGAATACTTTTTGAATAAAGTCTTTTTAACTTGATGAAAATACAAAAATAATCAAATATGCATGAAAAATAATGTCACATATGATTTAGATGACAGATTTAAGTAGAAAGGTAATTTAAAAGAAAAAGATGTGATTGGATTAATCAGAGCTCATTAGAAACCCACCTCTCCCATGCAGAGAAAGGGAAGAGGAGGTGCAAAGACAGGAAATTAGGATCAACACTGCACTCAGAAATTTAAAGGGGAAGGTGCACACACACAGACAGGCATATCAGGTACACATTTGAACATTTTTTTGTGTAATTCTATATATATATATATATATATATGAACATAATACTTTCTATACCTGTTACGTAAAGAAGGTTTTCATTTATAAAGCTCTAAAAATTTTACTAACTGGTGTTTTAGTGCATTTCCTGCAAATATGGAAAAATAAAGGGTCTCAATTAAATATGTGCAGCGTCACACGTTTAGTGCAAATTGTCACATGACCAGAGCATTTTACTTCTTGTTTGCACCATGAGCTGCATCAAGGCTCCAAAACAAAAGGATAGTAAAGTATGTTAACATAAAGATATGACAAAGATTTTTGGTACACATTATCTTTAAGGTGTCTAGTATTAATATATGAATTCACAATTATTCAGTTTTGTTGAGTGTGGACATAGAATGAGTGAACATGTTGATGGTCACAATAGTAACTAGTGGGATAATAACTATTTTTTTAAGTGTACCTATTCAGTGTTTTATAAGGGTTTTTTATCTGTATAATAGTAACCATAGAATGTGATGAAACCGTTTAAAATGGGTTAATAACTGGGCTGAGATGTATAAGAATTTTGATGACTGCAGAAATAATTTTATTTCGGTATACACATGATCCCACAATTGTGACCAACCATAAAACACACACCTTTCCATAAAAATTTCAAAAAACAACTATTGATTATTTCAAGGGGTTACTATGACACATCATCTTGATATTTTCATGTCTGACAAAAATGTGTGATTAAATGGGATAATGTGGTGTTTTTCCTGCAGGACACGGCCGCTGTGAGTGCAGGGTGTGTATCTGTGACGCTAACTACACGGGAAGCGCGTGCGACTGCTCTCTGGACGCCTCCACCTGCTTAGCCTCCAACAAGCAGATCTGTAACGGCCGGGGGATCTGTGAGTGCGGGACCTGCAGGTGCACCGACCCCAAGTTCCAGGGGCCCACCTGTGAGATCTGCCCCACCTGCCCCGGAGTCTGTACTGAGCACAAGTCAGTGGAAAACAAGCACACATCTGTGTACACAATGTGTGACAGATTAAACTACATGCAGTGCATGCACAGCTTCAGTGATGAATTGTAACACAACATATGATATGCTGGTTACCACTTACACAGCAAAATAGATGTTTTTTTCTGTCCAAAATAGATATAATATATGCTAAATATATGATGTAAACAGCACGGCTTATGAAATATATTTTTTCCAATTTAAAATATTTTTGTTTAAATCTTCAAATGCCAAAAATAGATTATAAAATGTACTGCAAGTGGTAAGAAAGTACATTCCCAATCTTGAAATACATTTAGCAAAATATGTTTTTTTTTTAATGTATAAACTAAACTCAGTTAATTCAAACAATTATTTATAGCATGCATTAAAGACAATAGAATGCCAATGTCAGAAAATTCTAAATAGTTTAAAAGAAAAATCAATAATTTTGACCCATACAATGTATTGTTGGCTATTGCTACAAATATACCCCAGCGACTTAAGACTGCTTTTGTGCTCCAGGGTCACATTTTATCCCACTGGTCACAATAGTGACCGTAAATGTAACCGGTGTTTTCTTATGCAGTAATCAAATGGACATCAGATGACGGTTCGACTCTTCTTTAATCTGATAAGTCATAAACAGTATTTATAGACGGGTGTCAATGTAGTTTCTGCAAGGTGAATGTAGAGTGCAATGCAATTAGCACGTGCTTCGAGTTCACAAAAGGACAAAAAAAGTGACCAAACTTGATGAAAATACAAAAATACTTCAACTGCGACCGCTCCAATAATAAACTCTGCGGAGGTACTGGAACAGTTTTACACCATGCATGTTACCAATGCATCACTCAACAGGCCATTAATAGAGGAAGACAGCAGACGGTTTATAATCAGCAGATGAAGGTTGTTAATGTGATGTTTTTCCTGCAGGACACGGCCGCTGTGAGTGCAGGGTGTGTATCTGTGACGCTAACTACACGGGAAGCGCGTGCGACTGCTCTCTGGACGCCTCCACCTGCTTAGCCTCCAACAAGCAGATCTGTAACGGCCGGGGGATCTGTGAGTGCGGGACCTGCAGGTGCACCGACCCCAAGTTCCAGGGGCCCACCTGTGAGATCTGCCCCACCTGCCCCGGAGTCTGTACTGAGCACAAGTCAGTGGAAAACAAGCACACATCTGTGTACACAATGTGTGACAGATTAAACTACATGCAGTGCATGCACAGCTTCAGTGATGAATTGTAACACAACATATGATATGCTGGTTACCACTTACACAGCAAAATAGATGTTTTTTTCTGTCCAAAATAGATATAATATATGCTAAATATATGATGTAAACAGCACGGCTTATGAAATATATTTTTTCCAATTTAAAATATTTTTGTTTAAATCTTCAAATGCCAAAAATAGATTATAAAATGTACTGCAAGTGGTAAGAAAGTACATTCCCAATCTTGAAATACATTTAGCAAAATATGTTTTTTTTTTAATGTATAAACTAAACTCAGTTAATTCAAACAATTATTTATAGCATGCATTAAAGACAATAGAATGCCAATGTCAGAAAATTCTAAATAGTTTCATATTTCTTTTATTTTTAGGGTGAAAAATGACAAATATACTTTGATGTAAACAGAAATATATCTGTTTGGATATTAGTTGGGTAAACATGGATATGTAAAAGTGTGACACCACTTGTTAAAAGTTTGAAATAAAGTTGAAATTAAGTTTGTAATGAAAAAATTAAATAAAAACCACAATATGGTGAAATATTATTACCATTTAAAATAACAGTTTTCTATGAGAATATATGTTAAACTGTAATTTATTCCTGTGATGCGCAGCTGTATTTTCAGCATCATTACTCCAGTCTTCAGTGTCACATGATCTTCAGAAATCATTCTAATATGCTGATTTGCTGCTTAAGAAACATTTCTGATTATTATCAATGTTGAACACAGTTGTGCTGCGCAATATTTTTGTGATAAGATTAAATAAATAAATAAATGCATGAAAGAAAGAAAGAATATATGTATATATCACTAATATAGATATATAGTTAATATACAGTATCGGCCAGAAGTTTAATATATTAGGATTTTTTAATGTTTTTGAAAGAAATCTCATATATATGTGTGTGTGTGTGTGTGTGTGTGTGTGTGTGTAGCCAGTTTTTTTAATATTTTAAAATATATTTTCAGATTTGTATTCATTATTATTTTTTATTATTATTATTTGCTGCATGGGCAACTATTGTGGTATTAGTACAGTTAGTAGAGTTTTTGATAACACTTTATTTTAAGGTGTCCTTGTTGCACATGTTAAATGCACTTACTATTATAATAACAATACATTAAGCGTAATTACATGCAAGTAACCCTAATCCTAACCCTAGCCATATAGTAAGTACGTGTAGTTAATTAATATTACTCAGTACTTAAATATGTATAATTATACTGTAAAAAGGACACCTTAAAAAAAGTGTAATATCAGCCCTGTTTCTTTGCAGAGTTTGTAACCAATGCAATGTTACCATTTATATATATTTGCCTTTTGCTGTGTGGAAAAACCCCCCACCATCCTAAGTAGGTTTCACAATCCACACTTGAACTCGCAGTGTTACCGGCTCTTTCCTGTCTCAGGGAGTGTGTGCAGTGCCGGGCGTTTGGCACAGGAGAGAAGAAAGACACTTGTGAGAGAGACTGTAGCTACTTTAACCTCATCAAGGTGAAGGACAGAGATAAACTCCCTCAGCCGGTGCAGGCCTTCCCCCTCATGCACTGCAAGGAGAGAGATGCCAACGACTGCTGGTTCTACTACACCTACGCCGTCAACAACACGGAGAAGGAGGTGCATGTGGTGGAGGCTTTAGGTGAGGCTTCGTATCAATACAAAGAAGAGCCATGGTTTAGATATCTGAGTTTGTGTCACTTGTATTGTTACTTTAACTGCATGAGTGTTTGTTTGCTTTAAAGGGGTCATATGATGCGATTTCAAGTTTTCCTCTGTCTTTGGAGTGTTACAAGCTGTTCGTGCATACAGTATATAAGATCCATAAAGTTGCAAAGAATAAAGGTCTCGTCCGAAATTTTCACACGTTAAAAAATAAATACGACCTCATGTTGTGTCAATCACGTGTACACACTGCCTCCGAAACGTTCATTTGTCATAAAAAAAATTCGGATCAGGTTCGATTTTCTGCATTTTCGCATTCCATAGCAAGCATTTTGATAGGAAAGGATGTCGAACACGGAAAAAAAAATAAATAAAAATAAAATAACATATAATAATTATGATAAATTACTTTAAACACAGTAGATGCAGTAATTGCTTTCGGAGGCGGATGCTGCTGTTTGGGAATGTAGTCGTGTAAGACAGTAATTATACAGAAATACTTTGATGACAGACTTTGCTCAGGCATTTCAGAACGACCATAACAACATATACATGCTCTGAACGAGATCGGTCCGCTGGTTAGTCGTTATCCCGTCTCATAGCGCAAAGTCACATGATTTCTTCGATGCACATGGAGGAATTTATTCTGTAAATGTGTTTCCATCGTAGTTTATACGCATTTTTTCTTATCGGATAAAAAGTTTATCCTACAAATTTTTTTAATTTATGTGCATCTTGATGTTTCCATTCAGCGTTTTTTATGCGATATTCCAAAATGCACATACCAAATACACAAAATACTGTTCTTTTTAGCAACATCATATGACCCCTTTACTGAACTGACGTGTGCTTGGTTTGGCAGAGTGTCCGGCGGGTCCTGACATCATTCCCATCGTAGCGGGCGTGGTCACAGGCATCGTTCTGATTGGTCTAGCTCTGCTACTGATCTGGAAGCTGCTCATGATCATTCACGACCGCCGCGAGTTCGCCAAGTTTGAGAAGGAGAAGATGAACGCCAAGTGGGACACGGTATGAAAAAAAAAAATCTTTTAAACTGGACCAAGAACTCTTTTATTTGAGCTCATGCTGTAAAACTTGAAGTTCCCAAAATTCCAAGATTGTTTCATCAGAAGTGTGGTTTTCCTCTTTACGAGTGCTCCGTCTGGATTTTAGGGCAGCTGTGGAAGTAAAGCAAAGGCTTCTGGATTTTCAGGGCCTTGTTTTTCTGGGTGTGTCGCGGGCAGCTGCGGTCAGTCAGGATGATGCTCTGCTGCCCTCTGCTGGCTCACTTTCTGAGCAGATCTGTGTGCACATGTGAAAAAGAAGTGCACTTAATTGTACTGAAAATGACTACTAATTAACAGAATTAAAGGTCCAGCCAAGCTCAAATGCAGGATGGTGTTCACAAAGGATCCAGGTCTCTTAAATATCTAGTTTGTGATTGATAACAGGTGGATCCAATTAACCTGTAAAAATAGAAAGGAACAACAACAGAACCAAAACAAAACCCGCAATATTTCAGTTCTCAAAAGTATATTTTTAAAATCTGTACTTGCAGATAATATAACTTTAATGAAATAAAAGACCGCATAGAGACACTTTCATGACTGTTAAACACACTTTTGTAATAATGTCAAATAATGCACAATTTAAGTGCATTTTAAATCATAGTTTTAATCATCTTTTTGTGATGCTTTAAAGAAATACACATGATTTGAATTATAATTTTATCATTTGAATTATAATTTTAACTGTAGTGTTATTCAACATTACATTTAAGGTTAATATATATTAAATGTACTAAATTACAACTCTGTAATTACAAATATATTTAAATACATGACATTCATGTTTCAATGGAAATGGCATTGAAGTATTTTAGTTCACCTTTAATGTTCATACACTTTAACCATATTCAAAGGCAGTAGACGTAATTATGAAATTAATTACACATAAAGATGTAAAAACTTACTCTTAAGTTCAGCTAATTGCATGTAAAATACATTTAATCTATAATACATTTTCATTTAATTGCAAATAACATTGTCCGACAGTGTCCAAAAATATTACATTCAGTTCTCACTAGTGTATTAATTTAAAAATATATTATTGCCATAATAAAATAAGCTAAAGTATGCCGAAGTGTATTTCTTTTTCACAAGGGCATTCTTAGGCAAATGCAGTTCAAAATCTGCTGATTCACGGGGAATGTGGTGTGATGGTATTTAATAAGGTACTTATTCAGTGTTGTAACAGTTAATAAAACCTGATTAGGATGTGTTTAGAACAGAAAGTGCAACTTTATCAAAGTCTTTATAACCAGTTTAATTTACTTAAATATTTGTCTAATTTATAAGATTCATTGTTAATAAATTATTACATTTTATATAATAATTTATAAGATATAGTTCATTTCTGAATTATTAAGTTAATCAAAGTGAAATGGAACTTCAGACTTAAATACAAGGTTTTTAGTGGCAGCTGATGGGATAAAAGACTCCTTATTTGTTCTTCTGGGTTTAACCATGTTTATGTGGTTATATATATATATTTTTTTATTATTATTTATTTATTTATTTGTTAAACCTTCTATTCCATCTTCATTTATACTCCATATGCATGCTTTGGCTCCTTTCTCTTGATGCTCACGAAATCTTTCTATCTCTCGAAGATCTCCATCCCTTTTATTCTCCATTTGTTGTCCATGATTTCAGCTCTTCTGTTGCTTCATCTGTGGTTGATATGTTGTCTGTCCCTGTCCACTCTCAGACAGAGAATCCAATTTACAAGAGCCCTATTAATAAATTCAAGAACCCAAACTATGATGTATTAAGGGAATGAAATGTTAACTGGTTTACAGTGGTACATTGTGCTCATTTTTTTTTTATTATTATTATTTTTAAATCAACCAATGATGAAGGCAATGCTAAAATGTAACAGTGTATTTTCTGTTTAGAGTGTTTTATCAGTTTTGATCCACCCCACCTCCTTAAACCACAGACGAGGACTCGCTACGCAAGTCCCACGAGTTTGTCGAGATGCTGTTTTATTAATTATTGTGATGGTAATATGAAGTATTTTTATTTTTTACTGCAGATATTATTCCTTGTGGGGATATGTTAATGGTTTCAACAGAATGTTATAGGATTTGTTACAGAAATGTATACACGGTAAACAATGCAAGATTAGTAAAAGAAAATAGGAAAGAACTGGAGAGAATTTGTGGGTAAATTTTTTTTCACTGTAGTTTCAGTCCCATTTTGGGAATTAATATTTTTCCATCAGTGTTTAATTTATTTATTTTTATTATTATGGTTATATATATATTTTTTTTATTATTATTATTTATTTATTTGTTAAACCTTCTATTCCATCTTCATTTATACTCCATATGCATGCTTTGGCTCCTTTTCTCTTGATGCTCACGAAATCTTTCTATCTCTCGAAGATCTCCATCCCTTTTATTCTCCATTTGTTGTCCATGATTTCAGCTCTTCTGTTGCTTCATCTGTGGTTGATCTGTTGTCTGTCCCTGTCCACTCTCAGACAGAGCATTACACCTATGGAGAGTCCCCACAAGGATAGCTGACCAGACGTGTGTGTGTGTGTGTGTGTGAGTGTGTACCTGACCACCATTTGTAATATATATATATAATCGGCTACAGCATGAGCATCTGACAGTGCTGTGTCATATTTAATGAGCGTTTCACTTAATAATTTGCTTTTCTTCACTGGACATTAATATGTTCATCAAAATATATATGAGTAATATATAGCTGCATGTGTTGATTTTTTATTTTTTTTGTACCTTTTTAATTCAAGGTTTATTGCACGTTCTTGGGGTGTAAATGCATTTAGATGACATGTTGAAGTTGAATTGGGCTGTATATTTTGTTTCTTAGTTTTAAAATCAGATTTTTGTGTGTTTCACAGGGAGAGAACCCCATCTACAAGAGTGCCGTCACAACTGTGATCAACCCCAAATATGAAGGCAAATAATGGACATGGGTATCACACACGTGAAGGTTTGGGAACGGATAGGTTTGCAGATATCCTCAGTTTTCCTTTAAATTGTTTATTTTCTCATTGTATGTCATTCTTTTAGAACAGTATTGTAGCAGTATTTTATGATGGACTGGCTGCTTCTCGTCCCTTGCAAACATGTACAGTTTGTATAGTCTTTATATTTACATCAGTTTTTCTTCTTTTAAACCCTGTGCACATTCACTCATTCGCTCTTTTCAAACTGAGCGGATATCTGTGCATCAAGTGTTGCGGTGCAAAGGGATCCTTGAATCCCTCCCCAAAAATTGCAAAAACTCATCAAATGCCATTTAAAATCATCATATGAATTTTTGTTTATATTCTATCATGTTCTTTCAAACTTCTTCAACAGTCATATATTGGCATAAGAAACTATCTGACCGGTGTATGTGATTTTTTTTTTTTTGGGGGGTGATGTAAGTTTGGTTTGATATGCTAATAATCTATGCATATTCATTTACTGTCAGACGCATCGTGCATTACATGCCAAAAACCTCTTTGATTTTAGTGTTTGCAACTTATTTCCCACTTATTGTTGCTCTTAGAAAATCATTATGACACGTGTCTTGTGTTTAACTGAAAATGTCTGTGTATTTTATATGTTATGAAGGATTATTTGTTGAATTATTATGTGGCTCTTGATGAGTATCAGTGTATTCAGGTGATATCCTGTAGTTTGTAGCCAAATGTCCTTAAACCGCTCATTAGAAATGAGCACAATTATTGATACCTACAGATTTCAAATATGTTTTCAGTTAGTATATTTTAAATGAAAAAAAAGGATGTTGTAATTTGCATATTTGAAGTCAGAGATAAAGCTCTTTGTTGTTAAGACAACTATCTGGAAAAAAATAATTAGTGTAGTTTTGTGTTCAAATGTTCATATCATATGCTCAAAGGTACAACCATTTATTTGTAATTATTTTAACCGAACGTAATCAGGAGATGCAGTCATTTAATGCTTAACGTAATAAATGTCAAGCTTAAGGATGAGAAATAGATGCTCTGCCACAACACCCAATCTACTAGCTTCAGTAGCTTTTTTTAAGTGCCTTTTTCTGGTTTTCTCAATATTGCAATTTTGAATATATTTATTAAAACAAAATCTAAAAGACCGTGATCATGTCTTTCTTTCAAACTTAGTAGACATCGAAAAGGTTTATGTTAGCATTTTTTAGGGTTACTGATACATGTGCTTATAACAATAATATTAAGAATTATGACATTTAAAAAAACATGCTTTTCTGAATTAAAATGTAACTTAATTGCTATTATTATTAATGCTTCTCTAATACAACTTCAGAATAGCATACTATGCCATTTTTTGCTGTATAAAAACTGTTCACTACTTTTTGTATATGCAGCAGGATGATCTAAGATATAATAAAATTACAACTTATCTCTTTATACAGAACATTATTTCCCACATGTGCTCGACTGAGAGTTATGAATGGACTTTTTGTATGAATTTTAACATCGCTTTCCTGACTCATTATTTGACTGGATTACCTAAAGTTGACATTTTTTATTACAATTTTGATTAAAAATGCGAAATATCCATATTAATTTCTGATCTTACCACTCGTTGCACGAAACAGGCCACATAAAGGTTTAATGACAACAGTGTAACAAATGATCGTTCCATACTGTATGACGTTTTACATATAAATACCTGTACATGGAAGTAGTATACAAGTACTCCATTATGAGTGTAAATTAATTGCAGAAACAGACATTAACCAACAGAGGGCAGCAGCAGATAATAAATACAGCTGCCTAGGACAAACTGCAGTCATAGAGAGAGACAGAAACAATCACCATTGACTCATTGAATCAGTGAGAGTGGGCCTATTGTACCACTACCCGATTCATTCATAATACACTGTAGACTATGACCACAGAACAATAATTGACAGCTGTATACACAACACACAAAGAGCTGTGTTTCAGGCTGTCTTACAGATGACACTGGGAGGCCATTTCACCAGACCAGCCCCATGTGGTCACATGGAAACCACATGACAGCGAATTGATTAGCTTTATATTAGACACAGCCTCTTACGAATTGTACTAATCTCAATGAGCAAGCACTGGCATGTAAGTTACTTTTTAATATATAAAAGCATTGTTTTTTCCTACCCATGCACACTGACAACACTACATTATGTCTGTATATTACACTTTCATATACAAATTGTTTTTTTTTTTCCTACCCATGTGAGCAAAATGAGGTTTTGTGTGACTCAGCTGCAACAACAACCACATATTTACCATCCTTCTCGCTGAGTAATTGATTTCATCTTTGCCATTTCATGATCCATTTGTTTGTATAGTAGTGATTCATACTAACACCTGAAATAAGTTATTATGGTTATCATGAGGGTAATGCACATCTGACTCGAGATGTTCTTAGGTACAGCTGTTGATGGTTCTTGATAAGGATTTATTTAGGGGGAAAATTTTATTAAGTGTCATTGAGCTCATTGGTGTGAACAAGCAAGAATTTGGATGCTCTTGAAGACAGATCTCATTCAAATATAGCTAATCTCTCAAAGAACCTGCCTCAACCTTCCTTTGTTTGCATGTGTTATGCTTGTCACTTTCCTAATTGTTCATAGATACAACAAATGAAAGAAAACATTTGATTTTAAATAAGTAGCCGTTTATTGAGTGTTTTTAGCAGCAACATATTGCTTTCACAAAATTAAACGTTTACAAATCTCATGTAATCCTTGACTAGCGTTATCTGGGATATCGAATTAAAAGACTTAAGACTTTTAGATAATTTTTAAGATTGTCAGTAATGCCCTTTAAAGTGCAAATGCCCATATTGTCCTAGTTATTTTGAACCAAGACAGTCTCTTGAAATCCGATATCAGTTTTCTGAAGAAAACTAGTAAGTAAAATAATAGTTCACCCAAAAAGAAAATTCTTTCATCTTATTTACCACTTCTATGGAAAAAGCAAGTAGTATATTATTAAAAGTTTACATTTAACCATGTAATGGACGGACTCCCTAAAGAGCTTTTATAGAAAACGCAACATAAATCAATCCAAATAAACAGTTCAGACAGCTAGAAAACACCAGCATACTGGTGATGTACAGTGACAATATAATGCATCTCTTTCATGTGATAAATGCTATATGTCATGTAGTTTTTTTTTATTACAAGAGCATGGTACAGCTCTGCAAGAAGCAACATTACGCACCAGATGTGTCTCAAAACCTAAGGACCTTCCTTTGACATGCTACTACCAAAATTGTGAGTGTTGTGTCAGTCTGATGTGCGGTGCACTATTTGCATGACATGTAACTGCTACTAATGTGGTTGCCTATAAATTCCATCTTAAATCAGTTACAAGGTTAGGCTTAAGATGCTGTTTATGTGTCCATTAATATCAAACCTCACTCCTGTAGGGCCTCCATCCTGAAGTTTAGTTCCAACCTGCTCCAGCACACCTGTCCAGAGGTTCTTAGTAATCCTGAAGAACTTTATTAGCTGGTTCAGATGCATTTAATTAGGTTTACAGCTAGACCAGTGGTCTCAAACTCAATTCCTGGAGGGCCACAGCTCTGCAGAGTTTAGCTCCAACCAGCTCCAACTCACACCTGCTTGGAAGTTTCTAGTAATCCTGAAGACTTTGATTAGCTGGATCAGGTGTGTTTGATTAGGGTTGGAGCAAAACTGTGCAGAGCTGTGGCCCTCCAGGAAATGAGTTTGAGAACACTGAGCTAGACTCTGCAGGAAGATGGCCCTTTATGACCAGAATTTGACACCCCCGAGTTACCCCAGAATTACAATATACCGCAAGCCGACTCACTAGGTCAGAGGTGTGCAATCCTGCTCCTGGAGGGCCACCTTCCAGCAGAGTTTAGCTCCAACCCAAATTCAAATTAAATCTGAACAAGCTTATCAAGGTCTTTACAAACTTCTTAGCAGGTGTTTTGGAACTAAACTCTGCAGGACAGTGCCCCCCCCAAGAGCATAGTTTGAGACCCCAGAGTAGGCAGGAGACCAGTGTTTCCCAAGCTTGTTAGTGGAGACACAGTACATCAGCTCAACAGCTCATAAATAGATACTCCAAGACTTGAAATTCATTGGTCAGATAAGGGAGACATCCAAAATTGTTGGTGTGCCTCCAGGAACAGGGTAGGGAAACACTGCAGTAGACTGCAAGTCAACTCACTAGGTCAGGTGTGTTCAATCCTGCTCCCGGAGGGCCACCTTCCAGTAAAGTTTAGCTCCAACCTGAATTAAACACATCTAAACAAGCTTATCAAGGTAGAACATGCCTGGCAGGTGTGTTGGAGCTAATCTCTAAACCAGGGTTCCTCAAATCTTGCCCTGGAGGGCCAATGCGCTGCAGAGTTTAGCTCCAACCCTGATCAAACTCACCTACCTGTGATTTTCTTATGATCCTGAAGTCACTGATTAGCATGCTCAGGTGTGTTTGATTAGGGTTAGAGCTAAACTCTGCAGGAAAATGGATCTCGTGGGCCAGATTTGAGGATCCCTGCTCTAAACAAAACAGAAGCTAAAGAGAACAGTGATCCTCCAGGAGCAGGGTTTGACACCAGAGTTGCTCCAGAATTTCAGTCAGCAGAAGACCAGTGCTTCCCAACAGTTCATGGAGTCACAGTACACATTATTGAACTCTTTCTAATCAAACACACCTGATTCAACTCATCAGCTCATTGGTAGAGACTCCCAGAACTGAAATAGACAGGTCAGATAAGGAAGACATCCAAAATGTGCACTGTTGGTGTGCCTTCAGGAACAACGTAGGGAAACACTGCAGGAGACAGCGAGTGAACTCACTAGGTCAGGGGTGTCCAATCCTGCTCCCGGAGGGCCACCTTCCATTAAAGTTTAGCTCCAACCCAAATTAAATACATCTGAACAAGCTAATCAAGGTCTTTAGGATCACTAAAAACTCCTGGGCAGGTGTGTTGGAGCTAAACTCTGCAGGTCAATGGTCCTTCAAGAGCAGGTTTGACACCACTGATTTGCCCCAGAGTTTCAGAAGGCAGAAGACCTGTGTTTCCCAAGTCAGTTCAAAGTACTCATTTTCAAACTCTTCCTAATCAAACATACTTGATTCAACTCATCAGCTCATTAGTAGAGACTCCAAGACTTGAAATGGATGGTCAGATAAAGGAGACATCCAAAATGTGTACTGTTGGTGTCCTAGGCCCGGTTTCACACATGGGGCTTAGCTTAAGCCAGGACTAGGCCATAGTTCAATTAGGATTTTAAAGTAATTTTTATAAACATGCCTTAGAAAAAAAACATTACTGGTGTGCATCTTGAGACAAAACAAGGGCACTGACATATTTCAAGATGACAACACGGTGCAAGTTTCTTTTAGTTGAAACAGCTCAGACTTACATTTTAGTCGGGGGCTAGGCTAAAGCCTTGTCTGTGAAACTGGGGGCTAGACTTGAAATGGATGGGTCAGATAAAGGAGACATCCAAAATGTGTACTTTTTGCATGCCTCCAGAAACAGGGTTGGGAAACACTGCAGTAGAGGACAAGTTGACTCACTAGGTCAGGTTTAACCTATTCTGCACCTGGAGGGCCACTGTTCTGCAGAGTTTAGCTTTAACATGAATTAAACACAAGCTAATCAAGGTCTTTAGGATTACTAGAAACGTCTGAACAGGTGTGTTGGAGCTAAACTCAGCACAACATTGATCCTTCAGGAGCAGGGTTTAACACCCTTGAGTTGCTCCAGAATTTCAGTCGGCAGGAGACCAGTGTTTCCCAAACCCGTTTGTGAAGACACAGTATACATTTTCAAACTCTTCATAATTACACATCTAATTCAAACTCATCTGCTTGTTAGTAGAGACTTCTAGACTTGAATTGGATGGAACAGATAAGGGAGACATCCCAAATGTATACTGTTGGTCTGCCTCCAGCAACAGGGTTAGGAAACACTGCAGTAGACAGCGAATTGATTAACTATGTAAAGAATGTCCAGTCCTGCTCCTGGAAGGCCTCTGTCCTGTAGAGTTTAGCTCCAACCCAATTTAAACACATCTGAACCAACCAATTACAGTCAGGATTACTAGATTACTTTCGGTCAGGTGTGTTGGAGCTAAACTCT